ATATTAGGTGGGATAAAACCTTATGGGGGCGACATGATTTGGGGTCGCGACAGGGCCGATCGTTCTTGGGGGGGACAGCGCTTATGGGGGCGATCAGTGATTATGGGGGCGACAGCGACTTATGGCAGGACGCGGGACTGCGAGACTTTCCCCTTGACTTTGGGGGGGGGTACGACTTGGGGCACTGACTTCCCAGTGACACCCAATAAAATATCATGAAAAAAAAAAAACACGACACTGTAAAAATGGCATGGGGGGGAAGGGGGTTTTAAACTTTTTTTTTTTCACAAAGGGGTTAATGTTTAGGGGATGTTTTAAGGGGCGGGGTTTTCTCCGGGGGACACCTAAAACCGATAGATAAACTCTTCTCCCCCCCGACAGCTTTCGGGACTCGGGAACTGAAAAAGCAAGCTACTGCACCTACTCTCTTCAGTGTTGCCCAATGGGCAGGACACCCTAATGCCCGGCCGTGCCCCGGCGACTGACACCTAAGGCCGGATCGGATGCGGGTGGGGGCGGGCGCGCCTCGTGTGCGCCCCTACCTTTTTTGCAAAAGCTCGTTTTAAAACGTGCTTTTGCCCGCCGTCCCACCCTGCCACCGTATTTCTCAGTGGCTGGGCGGCAAGTGGTTAATAACAATTGATCAGAGGGGAAATAAGGGATACAAGTAACATTGTTTATAAACTTTGAAAAAAGGGGGGAACGTAGGAGTACAAAAAAAACTGTTTAAAAACTTTGACCAATGGGAGACTAGAAAACAAAAAAATTTGTTTAAAAAACATCGAACAGATGGGGACGACGAATACAAAGTAACATTTTTTTAAAAACATTGAACGAGGGGAGATTTAGGAATACAAAGTAAATTGTTTAAAAACATTGAACAGATGGGATGTAGGAATACAAAAGAACATTTTTTATAAACATTGAAAGAGGGGAGACAGAGAGATAGAAGTAAACCCTAGTTCATATTTCCCCTGAGTTCATACTTCTTATTCTATTCCTAGTTCATACTTCCTGAGTGCATTACTTCCTGAGAGTTTACTTCTAGTTTCATACTTCCTGAGTTTTTTTTTTTTAATACTTCCTTAGTTCATAACTTCCTGTTCTAGTTCCTTGGAGTTCATACTTCCTAGTTCATACTTCCTGAGTTCATACTTCCTAGTTCATACTTCCTGAGTTCATACTTCCTAGTTCATACTTCCTGAGTTCATACTTCCTGAGTTCATACTTCCTAGTTCATACTTCCTAGTTCATACTTCCTGAGTTCATTTTCATACTTCCTAGTTCATACTTCCTGAGTTCATACTTCCTAGTTCATACTTCCTGAGTTCATACTTCCTAGTTCATACTTCCTAGTTCATACTTCCTGAGTTCATACTTCCTAGTTCATACTTCCTGATCCTATAGACTGATCTGCTGCTGGACGGCTGGATGTCTCACCTGGATCTCAACACACACCACCACCATGAGTCTTTTTAATTATTTATCTTGTAAGTGCAATTTATCTATTGTTCACTAATAAATTGTCTATACTGCACTTAGGGGCGCCTTCCTCTCTTTGTTTACTGCATTAGAGCCTAGCTTCCACTCTAAGAAGAGCTGCCTCAGTGTTACTGCTCCCATCCATCCATCCATCCATCCATCCTCCATCCCTGATATCCATCTGGCACCTTTATCCTACAGCTACAGAGTTTGGGCTCTACAAGAGCGCCTATTTGATATACATTTACCTGCACGCCTCTCTCCTCTATAGCCTTTTAAAACACACAGGGGGCAGGGGGCAGGGATCGGATGTCACACACTGTATAGCATAGGGAAGAGAGCTGAGTGTAACCTGAGATCTGAGTGGAGGGAAAGAAACACATCTCCCTCTCCATAATCCTCATAGGGAAACATGCACAGCTGGATTCTGGATCGAATCACAAAGCCAGTTTTGTTTTAATAGAATATTCACTTGTATCCAGTTTTTTTTTTTTTTTTGCTCTAGTCCTGCTATAAAAGATTCATGAAGCTGCTATTTTCTGAAGCTGGATTCTTTTCTCGGAGTGCTTTGAGGCTTTTTTTTTTTTTTTGTCAAAGTCACGAGCACAGTTTGTCCTGGGGAATGCTTTCACTCATTATCTTCCTTTCATCAGTCACTAAACAATACATTTCCTAAATTGTCACTGTTTACTCCAGCTGTCACTGAGATTTGCCATAAAGAGGATGATTTTGGTTTTTTTTTTCTGTGCCTGATGCAGCGAAGATTCAATACACATAAACGTTGAATTCTTTGATTTACGAAAAACAATTGCAACGGTCTGAAACAGAGCTGGACTGACAACTCATGGGGCCCCCCTCATTGGGGCCCCTGTGTCCTCGTCCACACTCAAACCACACCCTAAAAAGCCTATGAAAGGTACCAGGGGCATCTCATGGGGCCCCCTACTGATCCCGGGCCCTCGGGCAGTGCCCGAGTTTCCAAATGTGGTCAGTCCGCCCCTAGTCTGAAAAGCCAGCCGACATCGAACAAACTCATTTTCCAATTTTTTATTTTTTTTTGCTGACCGGCCTTAACCACTTCCAGGACCGGACACTTTCCCCCCCTTCCAGACCGCACACTTTCCCCCCCTTCCAGTCTGGACACTTTTACCACCCTTCCAGTCCAGACACTTTCCCTTCCCTTCCACAGACATTTCACCCCCCTTTCCAGTCCGGACACTTTCCCCCCCCTTCCAGTCCAGGACACTTTCCCCCCCTTCCAGTCCGGACACTTTCACCCCCTTCCAGTCCGGACACTTTTCACCCCCTTCCAGTCCAGACACTTTTCACCCCTTCCAGTCCGGACACTTTCACCCCCTTCCAGTCTGGACACTTTCCCCCCTTCCAGTCCGGACACTTTCCCCCCTTCCAGTCCGGACACTTTCACCCCCTTCCAGTCCGGACACTTTTTCGACCCCCTTCTTCAGTCCGGACACTTTCCCCCCCTTCCAGTCCGGACACTTTCCCCCCCTTCCAGTCCGGACACTTTCCCCCCCTTCCAGTCCGGACACTTTCCCCCCCTTCCAGTCCGACACTTTCCCCCCTTCCACTCCGGACACTTTCACCCCCTTCCAGTCCGGACACTTTCACCCCCTTCCTGTCCGGACACTTTCACCCCCTTCCAGTCCGGACACTTTCACCCCCTTTTCAGTCCGGACACTTTCACCCCCTTCCAGTCCGGACACTTTCACCCCCTTCCAGTCCGGACACTTTCCCCCCTTCCAGTCAGGACACTTTTACCCCCTTCCTGTCCGGACACACTTTCCCCCCCTTCCAGTCCGGACACTTTCACCCCCTTCCAGTCCGGACACTTTTCCCCCTTCCAGTCCCGGACACTTTCACGATGACCCCCTTCCAGTCCGGACACTTCACACCCCCTTCCAGTCCGGACACTTTCACCCCCCTTCCAGTCCGGACACTTTCACCCCCCCTCCAGTCCGGACACTTTCCCCCCCTTCCAGTCCGGACACTTTCACCCCCTTCCAGTCCGGACACTTTCACCCCCTTCCAGTCCGGACACTTTCCCCCCCTTCCTGTCCGGACACTTTCCCCCCCTTCCAGTCGGACACTTTCACCCCCTTCCAGTCCGGACACTTTCCCCCCTTCCAGTCCGGACACTTTCACCCCCCTTCCAGTCCGGACACTTTCACCCCCCTTCCAGTCCGGACACTTTCACCCCCCTTCCAGTCCGGACACTTTCACCCCCTTCCAGTCCGGACACTTTCACCCCCCTTCCAGTCCGGACACTTTCCCCCCTTCCAGTCCGGACACTTTTCACCCCCTTCCAGTCCGGACACTTTCCCCCCCTTCCAGTCCGGACACTTTCACCCCCTTCCAGTCCGGACACTTTCACCCCCTTCCAGTCCGGACACTTTCCCCCCCTTCCAGTCCCGGACACTTTCACCCCCTTCCAGTCCGGACACTTTCCCCCCCCTCCAGTCCGGACACTTTCCCCCCTTCCACCCGGACACTTTCACCCCCTTACCACTCCGGACACACTTTCCCCCCTTCCTGTCCGGACACTTTCCCCCCTTCCTGTCCGGACACTTTCACCCCCTTCCAGTCCTGGACACTTTCCCCCCTTCCAGTCCGGACTTTCCCCCCTTCACTTTCCCCCCTTCCAGTCCGGACACTTTCCCCCCTTCCAGTCCGGACACTTTCCCCCCTTCCAGTCCGGACACTTTCACCCCCTTCCAGTCCGGACACTTTCACCCCCTTCCAGTCCGGACACTTTCCCCCCTTCCAGTATGGACACTTTCCCCCCCTTCCAGTCCGGACACTTTACCCCCCCTTCCAGTCCGGACGCTTTCACCCCCTTCCAGTCCGGACACTTTCCCCCCCTTCCAGTCCGGACACTTCCACCCCCTTCCAGTCCGGACACTTTCACCCCCCTTCCAGTCTGGACACTTTTACCCCCTTCCTGTCCGGACACTTTCCCCCCCTTCCAGTCCGGACACTTTCACCCCCTTCCAGACCGGACACCTTCCGCCCTTCCAGTCCAGACACTTTCACCCCCTTCCAGTCGGACACTTTCACCCCCCTTCCAGTCCGAACACTTTCACCCCCTTCCACTCTGGACACTTTCACCCCCTTCCACTCCGGACACTTTCACCCCCCTTCCTGTCCGGACACTTTCCCCCCCTTTCACCTTCCTGTCCGACACTTTCCCCCCCTTTTCCGGACACTTTCACCCCCTTCCAGTCCGGACACTTTCACCCCCTTCCAGTCCGGACACTTTCACCCCCTTCCAGTCCGGACACTTTCCCCCCCCCCTTCCAGTCCGGACACTTTCCCCCCTTCCTGTCCGGACACTTTCACCCCCTTCCAGTCCGGACACTTTCACCCCCTTCCAGTCCGGACACTTTTACCCCCCTTCCAGTCCGAACACTTTCACCCCCTTCCACTCTGGACACTTTCACCCCCTTCCACTCCAGACACTTTCACCCCCTTCCTGTCCGGACACTTTCCCCCCCTTCCTGTCCGGACACACTTTCACCCCCTTCCAGTCCGGACACTTTCACCCCCTTCCAGTCCGGACACTTTCACCCCCCTTCCAGTCCGGACACTTTCACCCCCTTCCAGTCTGTACACTTTCCCCCCCCTTCCAGTCCGGACACTTTCCCCCGTTCCTGTCCGGACACTTTTTCACCCCCTTCCAGTCCGGACACTTTTACCCCCTTCCAGTCCGGACACTTTCACCCCCTTCCAGTCCGGACACTTTCCCCCCCCTTCCAGTCCGGACACTTTCCCCCCCCTTCCAGTCCGGACACTTTCCCCCCCTTCCAGTCGGACACTTTCCCCCCCTTCCAGTCCGGACACTTTTAACCCTTTCCTGACCAGGGCAATTTTCAGCTTTCAGCGCTGTCACACTTTGAATGACAATTGCGCGGTCATGCAACACTGTACCCAAATGAATTTTTCCCCTTTTTTTTAGACAGATAAAGCTTTATTTTGGTGGTATTTATTCACCGCTGGGATTTTTATTTTTTTTGCTATGTAAATGAAAAAGTCCCAAAATTTTGAAAAAAGTGTTTTTTTTTATAAAATTTGCAAATAAATAATATTTCATCATAAATCTTGGCCACAATTTATTCCGTTATCTTTTTAGTAAAAAAAAAAAAAAAAATCCAAATTAGTTTTAACCAAAAATTATAATTTTTTAAACATTTTTTTTTACATTTTTATTTAATTTTTTTTTTATTATTATTATATTTTTTTTTTTTACATACTTTCACCCTAGCAGTATCGTATCACCATGGTGACACTGTACTACTTGTGGGGGGTGATGAAGATTTTTTTTTTTTTTTACACTGATTGCTTTTACACCCCTATAGGATGTAAAAGCAATCATTTCTCTTTCTCTCTGGCTGCATTCTTGCAGTCATTGAGAAGTACTGAGTGAGCTGTGATTGGTCACAGCTTGTCACATGGTACAAGGCTGTTGTGAATAGCCCTGTACCATGTGACCTCTGTGATCATTCACAGATTTCACACGTAGTAAGCAATGATGTCGCATGTGATCACTGACTGGCCAAAAAAAAAAATAATAATAATAATAATATATAACAATAAAATAAAAATGTAAAAAAAAATGTTTAAAAAATTATAATTTTTGGTGATCACTGATTGGCCAATCAGTGATCACATGATCGGGACCTCGTAGAGAGGTCCCGTCCGACGATCGATGTTTCACTGTGTCCGGAGGGACACAGCGGGCACCGGATTGCGGTGCTGCGCGCTCCCAGGGAGCGCGCACAAGCAGGGTGTGGGGAGGCCGTTTATAAACCACCACCCGACCCTGCAGTGCCACCGTCCGGCCGTTTATATGCAACGTCCGGTCGGGAAGTGGTTAAAGTATATGTAAACCCGAACACTAAAACGGCATAAGATCTTTATTTCAAAAGCCATTTTCAGTCTATTAAACCAGTGACATGGCCGGCCTCAGGCGATACACAGAAATGAAGCAAATACTTTTACGTAGGTTGTACCTGTTTATCTGCAGCCGTCTCTTCTCTACAGCCTTCTAAATTTCAGAATCTACAAGGGGCGAACTGACCATTCGAGCATTCGGGCACCGCCCGAGGGCCCGGGGTCAGTAGGGGGCCCCATGAAATGCCCCTGGTACCTTTTTTATAGGCTTTTTTGAGAGTGGGCAAGGACACAGGGGCCTCATGATCCCCTATTGCTCGGGGGCCCCATGAGTTGTCAGTCCGCCCCTGGAATCTACACAGCATTTCTGAATTCCAGAAGGCAAGGGGCGGAATTCTGATGTCACCCACTGATTGGGCACTTTCACCCCCGCCTCTTCCTGCCCAGCACTTTGAATGAAAATTGCGCGGTCATGCAACACTGTGCCCAAATGACATTTTTACCATTTTGTTCACACACATAGAGTATTCTTTTGCTGGTATATCTCCACTGGGTTTTTTTTTTTATTATTTGATAAATAAAAAAGACTGAAAATTTTGAAAAAAAAATTCCACGTTTTTCTTCATTTCTGTTATAAAATTTTGCAAATAAATATTCTTTCTTCATAACTTTAGGCCAAAATTTGTGCGCAAAAAAAAAAAAAAATGACAAAAAATGTCAACTTCAAAAAACTTGCCATGCCTCTTAGTGGTGTGTTTGTGAGCACTGGGACAGGTGACGGGCCGGCTGCATTGTTTAGGCAAAAATAAAATTCACTGCTATAAGCAATCATAATGAAAAAAAAAAATCATTTTTTTTTGGTCATTTCTTCATTTTCTAAAAAAAAAAAAATGACAAAAAATGTCAACTTCAAAAAACTTGCCATGCCTCTTACTGGTGTGTTTGTGAGCACTGGGACAGGTGACGGGCCGGCTGCATTGTTTAGGCAAAAATAAAATTCACTGCTATAAGCAATCATAATAAAAAAAAAACATTTTTTTTTTTGTCATTTCCTCATTTTCTAAAAAAAAAAAAAAAATGAAAAAAAATGTAAACTTCAAAAAACTTGCCATGCCTCTTACTGGTGTGTTTGTGAGCACTGGGACAGGTGACGGGCCGGCTGCATTGTTTACTCAAAAATAAAATTCACTGCTATAAGCAATCATAATGACCAAAAAAAAAAAAAAAATCTTTTTTTTTTTGGTCATTTCTTCATTTTCTAAAAAAAAAAAAAATGACAAAAAATGTCAACTTCAAAAAACTTGCCATGCCTCTTACTGGTGTGTTTGTGAGCACTGGGACAGGTGACGGCCGGCTGCATTGTTTACGCAAAAATAAAATTCACTGCTATA